CAGCTGCATTAAATATTCAATTTAGCGAATAGTTTCATATTTTTTTATTAACTTCCCGTAGGGCAAGTTATAGTAATCGCAAAAAAATCGAAAATGAAAATTTTTATATATCTTTACGTTTCAAAGGTTTCTGAACATTTTGGCATACCTTAGAAAAAATGGATGTATGTGTGTGTGTGTGTGTGTGTGTGTGTGTGTGTGTGTATGTATGTATGTATGTATGTATGTATGTATGTATGTGCGTGTGTGTGTGTGATGTATGTATGGCGGATACAAATTTTCGTCGACGATTTCGGGAACACGGATCAACCGATTTGAATAATTCAAAAAACATTCGATTCGTATTGATAAGGAGACGTGCTGATTAGTTTTTGGCGAAGGCAGGTCTAGCCGTTCCGAAGATACGGGGCAAAAAGTGCCGAAAACGGTAACTCAGTTTTTAAGAGAACGGAGCGTCCGATTTGAATAATTCAAAAAACATTTCACTTGTATTGACAAGGTGAAGAATCGATAAAATTTTCATGAAGGTAGGTCTAGCGGTTTCGGAGATAGGAGGAAAAAGTAAAAAAATGAGCCATTTGGCGGTCAAAAATGATCATTAGACATATGCACATCAAATTATCAGATATTTTATAGAGATTTTAACAATAAGTATACATTTTGTTAACATTTCTATGGGTTCCGTACCAATGCTTATGCGTTAGACAGCGACGCGGCGCTTACGCGCTTTATATTTTGTCCCTATGCAGTTAAAGCAGTACGATTGCTTTCAAAAAAATTTCAGATCTTCTACAATATGTCAAAATACAGAAAAAAAAATTTTTTTTCAAAAAAAAAATGTTTTTTAAAAAAAAAATTTTTTTTTTCAAAGAAAAGTTATTTTTGTCCAATTTATAGTTTCTCAAAATCTTATTCTTTCAAAGTAATTTTTTTTCAAAAATGTTAATTGTTTTTAAAAAAATAATAATTTTTGGTACGGGAAGTTCCAGCAATTTGCCTTAAGGCACGATGCCTTAATTGCCTTAAGACAGAATTCCACTTACAGCTAGTTTCTGCTTTTATTATAATCACGGGGCATTCCGTTCTTCTGCTCGGGCAGTAAAAGCATTTTATAGTTACGATCGTTTTGTTGCAGTTTTGCCTGCAGTACATGAGTTTTCTATCAGTTTTATAGTGAGAGCTTTATTAGGAATGGGGATTTAAGTTGGAGCGACTTGTGTGTTTCCATAAATTTCCATTAATAGAACCAAACAGAGTTTATCTTTTGTATTAATCAGAGTAGAGCTTTCATAGTCTCATATTTTATGCAAATAGATGACATGAAATGCGTTTTAAACTTCAATATATAATGTTTGGTTTTGCATATGAGAAGACACTTTTTTATTCTTTTTTAGTTTTGATTTGATTTTGAATCCGCGTTGAATTTTTGTTTGGGTATTTGAACCATTTAAGATTTTCAATATCATTCTTGAAATATAAAAGAAAACTTTTGCAAAATATTGTGCGATTTTTATTAGAATTTTTATTAACGTTTTTATTAGCTCTTATCTACTTACTTTCATAATCTAGAAATTAGACATTAACATAAATAAATTAGTTTTAAATGTAGATAATATAATAAAAAATTACTTTATTATAAAGATTGCCATAGAACAGAAATTTAATTAAAACTTTAAATAATAACTAAAATATGACTAATAAATGTAGCCAGGTAGACAGGTAGACAGATAGTCTGATAAGCTAGTAGACTTTTAGCCTGGTAAACAGATAGACAGGTAAACAGAGACAGAGACAGGTAGAAAGGTAGACAGGTAGGCTAGTGAATAAGTAGACGGTTAGTCTGGTAAACAAGTGGACAGATGAACAGGTAAACATGTAAACAGGTAGACAGGTAGGCAGACGGACAGGTAGATTATTGATGATTAAATCGATTATTTAAGAATATCCGGAAGAACGTGCAACTTGCTACAAAGCAACATGCCATTTACCACTAGTTAATTAATATTAAAATTAAAAAAATATTATTATTATCGGTTATTAAAATATTAAAAACTAAGTTTGAAGCTACTCAATAAAGCTCACTATTTTTTTTGCATTATTGTTTTAATAGACACAAAGTTGATAAACGACACTAAATACTTTATATTTTTCTTAATATTGAGATATTAATTTAATTTTCAAATTTCGTATCCTATTTTCTCATATTGAGTTATTAATTTTGTACATTTTGTTAATAATAATGGTAATTTTCTTATCCATTTGTTTACAATTTACTTATTATAATTTCAAATTCTTTAATTATTACTGAAAAAGTCCAAATCATTTACTAAAACGCTTACATGTTTCAGCTAGAATTAATATTGCATGACGTTGTGCACTTAATGCATTTATCAAAAATGAAATATTTAAAATAAATATATCAAAAAATAATTTTTACTTACTTTAGTATTTATTCATAATCCAGGAACCTGAAATGTAACATTATTAATAAGAATCCAAACCAAAGCTTTGTCAAAAATTAAGTTCAATGAACATTGATTTTATATTTGGAAATAAAATTAGAATCTAAACTTTACTTTACTTTACTTTTTTAAATGAGACAGCTTGAAAGAATTATTTCATTATTATTATTCTATTCTTCCTCAGATAGGTTAGAATTGTAATAAAACCAACCCTAAACATTTAAAGTGAAACATTCGCCCAGCCAACAATATTGAAGTATAATAACTCTTTCGCCCAAATTTAATTTTTGCCATATATCGTTTTTCCACATTTTATTTGTAGGTTAGTATTTGTACATATGCATGTTTCCACATGCGAGTGTATTTTATTTTATGGTGTATAATTGTCACACACATTGTGATTAATAGCGGACCTATTAATGGAATTTCGTTGCATGGCTTTGGACCATAAAATACAATTATTTGACGCTGGCTAAATTAAACATGTAGTTAAATGCATACAATATATGCATGAATACGTGCATTTTATTGCAGTATTGAATTTATATATTTTTATTGTATAGAACTGTATACATAAGAACCATATTGAAGAGTTCAGTAGCAGTAATTTGATATACCTTAGAAAATATCAATTACTACTTCGCAGGTTTTATGATTGCTTCATTTCGATTCGAACAATGTAGTTATTTGTATGTTTGAAATATATAAAGTTGTTTATTGTCATGTTTAATTAAAATTGTAAACTAAATTAAAGTTGATGATGCGTAGCTCTCAAGTTTTGCTACGAAACCTTCTGTTGTAAAAAGAACTTCTCTTTAAATATTCAAAGTTAAATACTATTGTATATTACCTTTAATATAAAATTTGGTTTTAATAACTAAATTAGCGACAATGTTACCTGTAAGCTCTCTAAAAAATTAGTACATTGTGGTAAATTAAGTTCAAATATAAATAATATTCATAATTGCTCGTATTATGTTTAATCAAAATATTTTAAATATCAAACAAATTATTAAGCTTGATTCACGGTTACATGTATATTGTTCCATTTTATATAACACAATAATATTTAACAATAAATAACGTCAAAAATAGAACGCAGAAAATATCACAATTTTCTATATTTACCTTAACTTTATGGCTTCAATTTTATATAATTACATTCTTATAGTTTCCATAATACCTTAAGGCAGTGGCTTACAACCCTCCCATTTTTTAGAGAAAATAATGATCCGCCTACGTTAATTTTTTTAACAATCTAATTATATGATTACTCAATTCTTACACATTCTTATAGTGTTCTTAATACTTTAAGACAGTGACTTACAACCCTCCATTTTTAGAAAAAATAATGCTGCGCCTGCGTTAACTTTTTTAACAATATGTTTTTCTGATTACTCAATTCTTACATTTTTATAGTTTTCTTAATACTTTAAGACAGTGGCTTACAACCCCCCATTTTTAGAAAAAATAATGCTGCGCCTACTTTAATTTTTTTTAACAATCTAATTTTATGATTACTCACTCAATTCTTACACATTGTTATAGTTTTCATAATACCTTAAGAGAGTGGTTTACAACCTCCCAGTTTTAGAAGAAATAATGCTGCGCCTACGTTCTATGTATTTTTTTTTAACAATCTAATTTTATGATTTCTCAATTCTTACACATTCTTATAGTTTTCATAATGCCTTCAGACAGTGGCTTACAACCCTTCATTTTTAGCAAAAATATCGCTGCGCCTACGTGTTTTTTTTTAACAATTTAATTTTATGATTACTTAATTCTTACACATTTTTATAGTTTTCATAATACCTTAAAACAGTGGCTTACAACCCCTCATTTTTAGAAAAAATAATGCTGCGCCTACGTTATTTTTTTTTAACAATCTGTTTTTATGATTACTCAATTCTTACACATTTTTATAGTTTTCATAATACCTTAAGACAGTGGCTTACAACCCCTCATTTTTAGAAAAAATAATGCTACGCCTACGTTAATTTTTTTAACAATATAATTTTATGATTACTCAATTCTTACACATTCTTATAGTTTTCATAATAGCTTAAGACAGTGGCTTACAACCCCACATTTTTAGAAAAATAATGCTGCGCCTACGTTAATTTTGTTAACAATCTAATTTTATGATTACTCAACTAGTATTAAGATTAATTTATCAGGCTACAAATTAATAGAAAATATCATGTCAAAATGCACATGAAAATAATTAATTATTCATCATTCAAACTTTTATAAATAAAACACTTAGGGATTTTGCCCCATAGGTTGGAAACCATAGCCTTGAGATTTTAACCTCTTATAGGGTAATTTTTAGTAATTGCAAAAAAATCGAAATTGATTTTTTTATATCTTTACAAAGCCATTTTTGGCATAACTTACAGAAGATGTATGTATGTGGACGTGTGTTTGTGTCTGTGTATGTATGTATTTATATTTAATTGTTTTATATTTTTTGTTTTTTGGATACATTTTTTGTTATATGCTTTATTTTACTATAATTTATTTTTTCTTTTTCAGATGCATCATCCCATTCAAATGAAACCAGCAGACAGCGAAAATAGAAATGGTGAGTCACATTTTTTATTTCAATCTGTGTAATGTTAGTTGTGGATAATGAAATTTAACTTTCCCAATATTCGTAACTAATTATATCAATTTAGGTCGATACGAACGGTTTTCGATACTCCTATTTTATATAGATAATTACAGGCAATTTGCCTTTGCTTCATAAATAATGTATAGTTATATTCAAGACCGTATATAATCACTTAAATATACTCCAATATCTGATGTTTTAACATATTTCAAAAACATGTCGTACCACTAATTAACTTTGGTTTCATTAGCGTACCATTGTTAAGTAGAGCAAGTAGAAAAAGTTAGGAAAATCAAACAATCTCGTATAGACAATGGCAAACATAGGATATTTGAAACAAAAACTATGAGCTACCTGTGTGTTGGCTTCGGGTTTGTGATATTTTTTTATTTTTGTAATTTATTATCTCCTTTGTTTATAATATTTATTTAATAATAATGAATTTGAAAAAGGATCTCAACGGAAGGGATTTTAAATAGCTTCGGTTAACACTGAACCCGTATACCTTGAAAAGGTATGAAAAGGATTTTATAAAATTAGACATATACAGGTGTCCCAGACCTTGACGTCACAGCATTAACCTTAACTGTTCTGAAAAAAATTATGATATAGATTATCTGATGTTGTTCGGCAATTATGAGCTTTTAAGTGCAATATAGAGCTTTGGTGAAATTCTGACCATTTTTCGGTTATTGTAGTACTTTTTTGTAGTAATTATTTTATCTAAACTTTGGAACCGTAACCGTGACTAGCATTTCACAATAAAAAAGTACTACAATTTGCTCCGAATTTACAAGAATAAAGACTTTTTCAAAGGTTTTCCTTTAAAAAAAAGTACTACAATATGTATTGTCAAGCTTCATCAGAATTAGAATATTACAAATAATGTAACTTTCATTATACTTATTTTATAAAAAGTAAATAAAACTTAATCAATCGCATTTAAAATGAAGAACATTATCTAATATTTCTAATAATAAGTAATATATAAACTAAATTGCAAAAATTATTTATTTGAAGTACATAAGTTATATTTAGAACTTTAGCTAGAATTAGAATTAAAATCTGATTTATTTATCCATATTCAAAAAAAAATTTTTTTTAAGTGAAATAAAAAACTCTTTCTTAAAAGCAATCGTTTCGTCAATACAAGCACAAAGTATTTTAAATAATTGAAATCGGATGCATAGTTCTCTTAAAAACTGCCATTTTTTGCACATTTATTACTATATCTCCGAAACGGCTGGACCTGTCTAAAAATGGACAACGGCTAACGCATTTCGTTCACATTCAGGGGGCGTCTATTAATCACGTGAGGTTTTTCTTTGGGGGGTGTAGACAAAAAATCACGAAATATCATGTGAGATAGTAAGATATCACGTGTATTTATTTTTTAACTGATTTTTTTAAGTAATTTTACAGAGCGGGGTTAATTTTGAATATCACCATGTATCACCAAGCGGGAGGGGGGGTCCAAAAATCCTCAAAAACTCGCTCGCGTGATTAATAGACGCCCCCTCAGTTGTAAGGTTTTAGTTAGCCAAATATATGTTACATGTGAGATTATATATTTTTACTCGAAGTTGATTTTATTATGAATCTATCAAGTATTTTACTATTTTACAATCCTGATTGAAAATCCAACTTTTCATGAAACTTGCCAACACACCTTAGTACATTTTTTTAAAAGGAGGGTCTCCCAACTTTTTTACAAGGCTTCCCAACACAGCTCGGAGTTCACTAATCACTATTATTTTTTTTTAATTATTATTGATTTTAAGTATTTATAACAAACAACAATTTCCAATTATAATTTGGCCATGTTTTCCATGTCTTTCGTTTCTAGCGATAAGCCTCGCTGATTAAAACACGCGATTGTCGGGTGCATGTACACGTCTAGGAATTGTTTGCGGACTTAGTGCCGCAAAACACAACACCTATGTGTTCGGCAGAATGTTTGATTAATTGCTTTGTTTATACAAAGGCGAAATTGATTAGTACCCGGGCTTATCGTGAATTTGCTGCGAGTCCGGCATTTCGCGTCAATATTTGTGACAATGCAAGCAATGAAATTCAAACGTGTAATTCCTTTGGCGCACCGCGCTTGGGAAAACGTCATATGGCAGTGTCCAAGTCAACACGAATCCTACATTTGGCATAATGTCATAGATCAACATATTATAATTTAATCAGCAATCAATTTTTTCTGTACATAACAACACATGCGTCAAAATATTAGATTTTTAATTAATTCTTCCTTAACTATTAAGGTGGTCAAAATTCATGCGACTGATGTGTTGTCTATCACGTGAACGGACTTCAATCAAAGAAAAACCTTTATTATGTGATTATTGAAATTGCTGAAATTGACCAACCATGACAACCTTCATGAGTATATGAAATGCGCAGAAGATTTGTGCATTGCTACTTGTATATTGTTAGAAGCTTGCGTTTTTTTGCATTCAAAATTGCGAACAATATTACTTACAATTAGTTTCATGATTTGAATAATGAAAATGAGCTGTTTGACTATTATAAAATACATTCTAATTGCAATAATCAACTAAAATGAAAAATTTACTTAATTGATATATTAAGTATGGGAGACGGGGTACGGTTGTGCCAGGGTACGGTAGTGACAGTCGTCAAAACATCTAAACTATACTTATTTTGAAATAGGGTTTAAAGGGAAATGATGAAGTATAGACCGTATTGCTTTTAAAGAGTTATAAGTAAGTTTTTTGTTTTTGTTTTTTTTTTAATAACTGCTACTTGTATACATACAGATACATCACTTTATTAGTTATTTTGCTGTAAGTTGAAGTTTATTAGTTGTTAATGAACAGTTATAACGATGATTTGTTTTCAACAATGTATATTAGGTACACGTCTTGAGGGTGTGGAAGGGTTGTATACGCCCTCTTCTTATATTATTTCATTTTATGACTAATCCATTGTATTTAAGAACAGTATTTCAGTATTTTAACGTAAACAAATGTTTTTAGTTACTATATAATTTTCTTTCTCTTGGCCCAGATAATAGGTTAAATAACAAAATTTGTGCCTCTTATGCCATACGCTAAATTTAATTCAACTGCATTTATTTTACATTATTCATTAGAGGATTGTAATATGGAACATGAAGAAATGAAAAGATACTAATAAATTTAAATTTACACTTTTTAATAAATTTTAGATTTAATATTAAATTATTAATTACTTAATTCAATGTTAATATTTTGACCTATGCTTGTTAAACATTTACTGACACTTCTGACATTGCTGCTAATTATCCCAATATCTCTCAATATCTCATTTTTATCTGGATTTTCCCTATTGTAAGAATAAGGACTGATCTAAAAGAATATTTATTAAAAGTTAGGTTTAGTACTAATTTAGTAGTTTTAGTGCTGCTAAACTTATTATAAACTTACTTAAGTATAGAAAATGTAATACTTAACATGTTATTATTGCATGTTTCCATTCAGTGGAATTTGTGAGTTGAGCCAAAGAAGAGACTAATTCTGCGGTAATAAAGATGCTTTTTTTAATAACGTTTTTAGTTTGCAAATTTGAATTTATTGTGAAGAAATTTTAATTAGTCATCATTTTTAGTCCTCATTTACTATCCATTTTTGCTGCCTTTTTTTTCGATACTTTTCAGTATATGATGGTTGTATACCATGTTAATCGGCTTCGAATTCTCTTTCTTTATTATTTTCAAAGTCATTGCCATTTCTTTGGGTTATGAAATTCATTGTACATCGACTTATTGTTATTCTATTTGATTTTTTTAACTTCCCGTAGGGTAAGTTATTGTAATGGGTCGAAAATCGGAATTGAAATTTTTTTTATTTCTCGACGTTTTGAAGGTTTCTGAACGTTTTGGCATACCTCAGAAAAAATGGATGTGTGTGTGTGTGTGTGTGTGTGTATGTATGTGTGGATACAAATTTCCAGTCACGTTTTAGGGCGCACGGATCAACCGATTTGAATGGTTCAAAAAACATCCGATTCCTATTGATAGGGAAAAGAGCTGATTAGTTTTTGGCAAAGGCGGGTCCAGCCGTTTCGGAGATACGGAGCAAAGAGTGCAGAAAATAGAAATCGTATTTTTGAGAGAACGGAGTATCCGATTTGAATGATCTAAAAAACTTTCAATTAGTAATGATTGGGAGAAGTGTTTATTAGTTTTTGGCAAAGGCAGGCGCAGCCATTTTGAAGATACGGAGCTAAATATGTGAAAAATGGCAGTTTTTGAGAGAACTAAGCGTCCGATTTAAATGATTCAAAGAACTTTCTGCTTGTCTTAACAAAATAATCGATTTTGGAGAAAAAAAATTTCTCTTTTTTTTTTTTTTTTCTTTTTTTTTTAGTTTTTTGTATATCGAAAATATTTATTTTTAATTCTGACTATAGTTCTAATATATTTTACAACTAATTTCAACTCTGCAATTCAGTTTATATAATATTTATAAATATTAGACAATGTTACAATATTTATAATAATCTATTTGAAAACATTCAGTAATCCTCGAACATTTCGTTACGGTACGGGAAGTTCCAGCAATTTGCCTTAAGGCACGATGCCACCCACCCCACTAGTTGTTTTATATTTTCTTTCAATTTATGTAAAAATAAAATTTAAACTTATTTAGCAAATGTTAAATTTGGTGTCACCCAAATTTTTGCGATTTCCATTTATTTACGCAATTTGTGCACTATTTTGAGATTATAGACAATTCTCATTCTCCTCAAATAATTATACATTAGCCTCTCATTTCTTACATTAGTGAATGTGAACTGTTTTAAGTTGAGACGGGTGTATTTATTTCCGAACGAAACGCTTCAAAGGTTTGATTGACAAGTTTTAATGTGGCGTGGTGTTGGACTATTTATAAACTTTTCGTACATATATTATCGTTAAAATGTATCGATGTAAATGTGTAGCTTATGATGGGCGTGCACGT